AAGCCGGCCATCAAACCCGATCCTTGGTCCCGTGCCTGTAAAGCGTCACGCTTACCTCCACTCCAAGTTGCCATTGATGGGCTGCCTGTGACCATGGCTTTTGTGCTTTCCCCTGTTGAGCGTTCCCCAGAGACCACCTCCGTAACTTTGTTCAGAGAATCGTTTGGCAGATTTTGAATGCAGATTTGAAATCAGCATCAAAAATACGCCTAGCAGTATAGGTCCCATTTCAAATGGCTACTTCAACTTGGGATCCTTCCCTTGTTAGTCCTATCGTGATATCTTTGGTCTACCTGCTCAATAATCATCTCTCGAGTCGACACTCAAACCGAGTAACCAGCCTGAAAAAAATCTAATGATACTTGCGAATGGTTTAATAAACTGAAACACCATGATAAAATCATTAAAGATTGGATTATTGGTCCTGTGGCACATTCCTTCTGAATGGTGTGTATGTCTCAAGGTCAAAGCCACTTATTCACCCCCTGATCGTGGAAAACGAGAATTCTATTTCTGTACGATTTCCCAGCACTGCTCGAAACTACTTGTAGGCATCAAATAACGCATTGCATTGGGAATACTAGGTCACAGCTGCCATTCAAAATGAGATGTATAGCGCTGCACGCGGCCTCAAATGCCGATCTCAAATCTGCGGATGCTTTTAAGAGTAGAGTTTCTTGAGCGTTCTCCTCCTTCGGATGATAGGCGATTCCACGAGTAAGCCACTGGAGCACTGGTAAACCTCCGACCTAGTGAACGTTGTGGATTCACAGGTGTGGCATTCTTTGCTATTTTACTGAATGTTTGCTGAAGGTTTATAATCTAGTTTGCGCGTACTTTGACTACAGCCCTAGTTTCGTCTTGATTAATACCGTGACCCGTTTCTGCAAGAAATTCCGTTACGAGGCCTTTAGGAGAGTTCTCTATTCCTCTCAAATGGTTTGACAATTCTATATTCGTTCCGTATTTGTGAAATTTTGTTCACTGTTTTACAATACCAAAGCACAAAGTTCCAGAAGATGCTTCATAGTGTAACAGAAAGCATTTCTTCCCATTAATGCCATCTTTTTTTTCTGTCTTACGTAATTGGTAGCAGACATACCCAATGCAACGACCGATCCTACTTCTATCTCGGATAAACGAAAAGTAATAGAGACCATTGCGCACGTACTGAGTGATTTATTTCACTGCAAACAACAGCTTACCAAAGATTCCGTAGCTTCCCGATGATGTGAAGTGGTGGTTTACCAGCTCTACTTCATAGTAAAGATCACTGCCTTTAATCGTCTTTAAGCGAGTGACCGTTCTGTTTTAAATACTTTCATTAAATTACCACACGTGATCATGGAGTGCTCATGAATTATTGAACTAGTACTCCTTGAATGAATTCTTCAAATCAACAATACAAGCGCATTTTTTGAGGTATGAAAATGTTAATATGAAAAAAAGCCGGTGAAAAAAGTGACTATCCACTCCCTTACCCGCCATGACATCGCTGCTGACTAGTAGCAATGTTTGACTGGTCGGCCCACTGGCATAGTTTGAAAAAGAACGCTGCTATTTGAGGGTTGCAGATTCAAAATGCCGATCTGAGATAGATTTCGGAAACTCATAAGCTGGAATATTTCTCAGCTTGATTGGCAAACGTAGCCTAGTATCCCCCTCGTCTAGGATGGTTTCAGTCAGAGCATCTCTTATCTCTCTAGCTAAATGTTATAGCAGCATTTATTTTGCGATATTGTTGAATTATGTTGGCAACTCTTGAATCGACGGAATTTTTTTCCATTGGCGAACCAAAGTCGTCTGACCTCTCTTTCCTTACACCTCAGCACATCGTCGCTGCATCTCTGCGCCAAAACGCTTGAGTGCAGACGAGCGAAATCTACTATCCCAACATCGTGTACATCCTGCAAGCGAATGCCGTCCCTCATAGTTCTTGTTTTGTTTTTCATTATCAATTCGTGGATCACCCCGTTCCTACTAGACGTGGCTTTTGTCAAACCTTACTGAAAATATAACAAATGCTCTTTTGTTTTACGTGTTTGTGTGCATGAAGAGAGGGCTGAGCATTGCGAAGAAGTTTTTAGAATTTCAAAGTGTTTTAACCCAGCTAACAAACATAGTGGTCTAATCTTATCCCAGTACCTTGTTTACTTCTCGCTTAAGATCGAAAACTTTCCTTTTTTTAGTTACAAGTTTTTCAGTTATGTGAATGTAGTACCTAACGACAGTTTTCAGGCGAAAAATGTGGAAGAGATCATGGACGTCGAGGGCGAAGTGTCTGATGAAAGCGAAGTGTCCGAGTCAGATTTTGATGATGATCACGATGAGATCGGTGAGAACAATGATTAAAATATAAATCTGATCGACTCACTTCATTGGTGAGTGAGTATCTATGGGAGGCCTAGTAGGATTCTCTGCCACAGACCTTCTTATTTAGTCTTAACTCCTTTGTGGCGCTTTTGCGTGATTCAATTGGTTTATGTGATTTTATGCAACTCGGCGAACATTCAAATATGTGGCTCGCCTTCAAAAATTAGTTTTTTTTTTACTCAAGTTGGTCCACGATATTCACTTTATCTTTTGGTCATAATGGGTGGTGTTTAAGATGTTGCCAGGCACTTGCTCTCTGAAGATTTTTTGATTAGGCTTCAGATGAGCGGTCAGCTTCAAGAATAGAACCAGGTGCTCTCCTAACAGAAGAATTTGCACCCTTTTTT